TATTTCCCTCACTAGTGTTTTTATTTATATACTTTTAAATTGTATATTTTCTTAAACGGCAAAATGAAAAAACAAACATTCGAAAAAAAAAGAGCTAAAAAACTGTTAGCTTATAATTTTCCAGTAATATTTTTAGGAAATGAACTTTTTTTTGTTTTAGCTGGCGGTCGGTTCGAGGTTGAAAAAAGCATTTCCTTTTTGGCCGGTCTGGTCACTATATTCCTTTAATTCCGTTGGACCATTTTTATCCATGCTTTGTATAGACTACTCCATTTCTAATATTTTCTGTTTTTGCAAAGTGAGTTTCGAGAGCAAAGCTTCCAACTTTGCTCTACGCTTCTTGTCTAAATTTTTTCCAGTCTTCACTTATTACTCTGACTTTAGTTGTTCCATGATTGATTATTTGGGTTTGAGTTGCTGCTTTCAATCGGTTCACTGCTCAACACACTGATCAGCAGGCTGCTCAACATGCCGTTCATCACTGCTTAACACTTGCTTAACACTCTGCCAGCTTGATGGATCATGATAATTTGTAATATTGGCATAAGTAGCTAGACACACTGGTTGGCATGAAATACATGCCGAACCTGAGGATCATTTCACCAGAATCAAGATGGAAATGCTTTCGAGTTTATTTCTAACGGCTGATTAATCATCGATCAAAACATCTGTTTGCATAATGAAGTATGCGACAATACAGCAAGTTTACTGGCTCTCTGACCATCCCATTCCATCTCTAACCATCCCATTCTTTGTAGGAGTTACTTGAAATTGATAACTTAGCGCTTTTCCTATTGTAAATGATTAAATCAAGCGCTTTTTTTATTGTAATTTTTTTTTTTTTTTTTTTTTTTTTTGCTGTAAAATAATATTTACAATGTGAAGGATTGTGTTCATATAAAATAAATGGCCGGAGCAAGAAAAAGACTTTTATTATTTCATCGCCGAGCCCGTTTTGCATTGTCACCGTTAGTTTATTTTACAATTTGTAAATTATTAAGCAAGAAAAGGTAAAAAAATAAAATAAAAAAAAATGTTATTAATTTAAAGTATAATACAATTCCACAAAGATTTTGCAAACGCTAAAACTGTATGTTTTAATACTAATAATTGCTGACGACATGAAAATCCTTAAAGCAATAAAAAACGATAATGATGTTATTTAACTTCAACAAGATATAGACTTATTAATGGAATGGTCGAATGAGTGGTTGATGAAGTTCAACCAGCAAAAATGTAAGGTTATGATAATAGGAAATAGCCAGCACAAAGTTTTAATGAATAATACAGCTTTAGCCTACACAAGCATGGAAAAGGATTTAGGAATGTACATTTCAGATGATTTGGAATGGAAACACTATGTAAATAAAGCAGTAAATAAAGCAAATCAAAAGCTAGGTCAGATCGAACACACTTTTAAATATTTAGACAAAAAAACAATGAAACTCTTGTTTATAGCCTTAGTACGTCCATATTTGGAATACGCAGCTCCTATCTGGAATCCTTATCGTCAGTATGATAAAGATAAACTTAAGTGTGTCCAACAAAGAGCTTCTAGAATTAAAATTTTGAAAGGATACAGTTATGAAGAGAGGTTAAAGAAGTTGGATTTACTATCGTTGGAGAACAGAAGAAGAAGGGGTGATTTGATACAAATGTTCAAATATTTGAAAGGGTACGATATTATAAATTTTTACACAAAACCCGAAATGCTAGATAACGGATATAAAACTAGAGGTCACAATAGTAAACTGAGAAGGCAATAAACAGGAAATATAAAACGACATAATTTTTTCACAAATAGAGTAGTAAACGACTGGAACAATCTTAAACAAGAAACAATAGACACAGTCAGTATCAACCAGTTCAAAAAAAAATTGAATGAACATTTTAAATACTAACTTTTTTTATGTTTGTATGTTAGTGTGTTACAGCTGTTAAAGTTACAAACTCTACGTAATTTGGACTCATCACTCTTTAAGTGTACAGCACTATTATATTATATTATATTATATTATATTAAAATATAATAATAAACAACTGCATCACTTTTTTATTTTATTAAGATATAATGCCAGAAAAAAATGTAAAAAATTTACATTTGAAAATTTTGTGGGGTATTTTTGTGAAAGTTTGGTAAAGTAAGAGTAAAATATATTTGGAGATAAAACATGTTTTGATTTAAACATAACTTGGTTTATATTAGGCTTATAAATAATAAAAAAATAATTCTTTTGACGCCAAATATAATCCTGGAAAAGGAAGAGTGTGTAAAAGAAAGAGCCAGGTTTTGAAAGAGCCGATGCTATTATATCTAACTTACAGGCATCCAACCATACTTGTATTTTACTTTTTGTGAGGCAACGCTGGATACCTATCACCCACAAAAAATTTAGTGTTATACTAAAATAAATAGCGTCGTAAGGTGCACTAAAAGTTTTGAAAATAAAAAATATTTTTTTTGAGGTTTACTTATTTATTTTTAAGATAAAGAGATATTTTATTATTTGATAAAACATATATGCTGGATTGTTATATTTGTATGTGTCCTTCTTTTCCACAAATAATATTAGAATAAAGTTTCGTTAAAAAATGTTTAATTTCAGGTTATTGTTTTTACCATACAATTTTTTAAAAAAGCCACTTTTTTATGCTATAAAAAAGCCGGCTTTTTCTATTTAGTTTTGCTTATGCAAAGTAGTTTTTAACAACGACTATAAAACCAGTCATGAAAGATCCGTTCATAGTGGTCAAAAAGTCCATATACAAACAGGGCCGTCCCGATGGGGTGTCAAGCCACCTATGAAACAAATAAAAAAACAACGGCAATTATTTTGGCACAAAAAACTATATATTGCTCCATTGTGTATAGTACGGAAAAATATTCGGAGATTTTATTTTCAATAGAATATTTTCCATGATATATTTTCATGTAGTATTACTCCAAGAAAGTTAACAATTAATTCTCTTTTAATAACTGTATTGTTTATATAGAGTTTAGGTAATTTTAAAAAAGGTAGTCACCGTTAAACGGTTTGTGAAACAAGATAAGTTTAGTTTTCTCCACATTTAATAAAAGTTTATCACTTGTAATCCACTCATTAACTTTTAATAGTTCTTTGTTAAATATTTTAAGCAGAACTTTTATATTGTTCTTTGATTAAAAAAGGTTTTTACTCACTTAAGGCCGCTCTTATTTAACACGAATATTTTTAATATATATCAAGTAAATGTTCATCATGTTCTTTGTTTTATGTTTAAATGTAAAACCAACTCATCTCAAGCTTCCTTTTTTGATTTATATTCATAAAAAGAAAAAAAAATATTTCCTAAGAAATGTTAATTTTATTAAACAACCAAAATTTCAAACAAACTTTGTTACATTTTGCATATTTTTTTCGTAGAGCTTTTTTATGGAATCAAATGATTTTAAAAATTTTGATTTTTCTCATGGATGGAATTATTACTTTCAAAAAAAAATTAAAAAATTAATTTTCTCAATTGAAAATATATTTATATACTTTTAATTATACCCAGTTTTGTCATCACTTATTTGTATTTTACTTTTATACAATATTGATTTAACGTTTATGTGAGAAACTATATTTAAACACCATTATTTGAATTTCGTTAAAGGTTGCACTAATATTATTTGTACAGTAATCTATTATTATTTACTTGCTTACTTTAATTTTTATTTTAAATCGTAATATTTGTAAATAATTTGTCTTACGAACGGTATATACTTTTAATATTGAATTTAATTTTGTAATAAAAAAATAAAAAATATATATATATAAATATATATATATATATATATATATATATATATATATATATATATATATATATATATATATATATATATATATATATATATATATATATATATATATATATATATATATATATATATATATATATATATATATATATATATATATATCCCAGTGGGCACACGACGGAAAAAAGACGTCTTATGTACGTTCAGTTCACGTCCGCTCGATTTATTCACAATATGAACTATAATAAGACGTCTTATGAACGTCTTTTTCTCGTCCGTTCCGAAAATTGGAAAATTTATCACTTTCAGTTTTGTAAAACCTTTCTAATGACGCGAAATGTCATTATTAAAATTATTAATAGGTGTTTTAATAATGGCGATTCTTGTATGAAGAGGTCACAATTACTTATTAGATAATTGTTAGATAACATATGTGTTTTATATTTAGATATGTATATAGATAAATAAAATATACAAAGATTGTTTATATAGTAAAGAAAAACTATATAAACAATATAACTTTATATGACATATATATGTCGTGACATGTTTTTTTTTACTTTATATTTCATTAAATTATTATATATCATAATATGATATATATGACAATATGATATATATGATATATATGAATCGATTCATATATAATATAGTAACATACATATATGATATAGTAACAAGATATAACAGTAAAAAAAATTATATGTGTACTACTAATAATAATCGAAAGTACTTTGAGTTACAGGAAAGTTCGAGTTATCTGAGGTTTGAGATATTGGGAGTTTACTGTATTCTTATGATTATTATTTTTACATTCCATCTACATAGAATTTTGAATTTTATGCTGAAAGTTGCACTTTTTTATATATATATATATATTTTAAATTTTAATTTATTATACTTTTGCATCATTTAATAAAAATACGTATGATAAAGCTTTATTAATATATCAATGATTTAACATTTAGTGCACAAACAAATTAAATAATACATTTATTAATGTTAGAATATGATTGTTTTATGTTTTAATGGTGAAAAAATCAAAATTTTACATGATATTTTTAGTAGAAAATTTTATAAGGATTTCTTGAAAAAATAATGACAAAAATGATAGTTTTTCGTAACTTCAAATGTTATAACTTTTCCAATTCTTATCAAAATGTATACAATTTGGTATAAAAACAAAGATATAAAAAAGACAAGGCCCCTACAACACCCAGTAATTTGTTACGAATGTATATTTGTTAATGAAAGTTTTGTGTTTTTTATTGAAATTTTGGATTTTTATTTGCAATTTTTTATATTCTAACAGACGATCATTAAATATGAAAGATAAACAAGTAGAAAAGAGTATAGTAATACATAATACTCTCCTCATATGTAATACTCTCCTTAAACGTAAATCAAAAACCGGATATGATGATTAAATGTTGTATCGGCATGGTTTTATCTGTCTACTTTGCTTTTTCAATTTGGTTGCCAGCTTCAACCCAATTCTTGATTTAGAACTATGATTTTGAACTAAAACATTTCCGAGTTGAATAAAATACTATTTATTCTTAACTGTATTTTTTTTGAGGCTTCAGTTATCAAATGTTGGTGGTAATTTTAGTTATGCCACTGTGAAAGCGTTGATTGTTAAGTATGTGTTTACTTTTTGTATTTTGTTTTGCTATGCAAATAATTTTTAATAATAATTACTTAATTATTAACTAATAAGTTTTATTTTGTTAAATTATTTATTATGGTTATTGTTTATCTGTATACATTACACTATAGAGTATATGTAAATGCATGTGCAATAGCATAGGTTGTATTTTTTTATGTATTCACATAAGACATTTTCAAGCACATTGTCCAATCTGCAAACTTAATTATTTTTATCCTTATGTCGAATGTTTTGCCCTTTCCCATCCCTGAATGTGAGGGAAATGAGTTCTGTAAATAAAAGTATTTTATTTAATATTAAATTAAATTTGATCAACAGGTTTGTAACTTTATTAGTATTTTAGCTTTCAAAAGTTTTGACCATATAAAGATTAGTTTCCCTCCTGAAATGAGGAGGTTGCAAATTGTACATCATCATAACTTTTGAATGCTAATATGAACTCATTTCCCTCATATTCAGATATAGGAGAGCAAAATTTTTTTGGTATTTTAGTTTTCAAGCACCGATGTATTATTTATAACAATTAATAGATTATAGTTTATTTTTTCATTGTCATTCCAGGAAGACATAAAAAGTTTAAAGTATGCACAAAGCCTGAAAGTGTCAAATATGGAACCTAAAAAAACCTGCCTTTGCCACTAACTGTATAAAGGTTTTTTAAGGTAAGAGCTTAAATAAATTAACAGAAAAAAAATATTATAAGTTATACATTTTTATACTAAAATAGAATAAAAATATATATTTGTAGTTTCAGTTTTTATTGTCACAAATATTAAATATTTGTCACACAGAATACAGATATTGATGTCTGTCGTCTTTAATATCATTAATGCTTTATCTACTGTTTTCTTTTTGTGCATGACCTAATTTCTTTTCATATCCATATTTTTTAGGTCTGTTTGTCAAGCGTCAAGTCAGGTTATCTTGCTACTGGTACCATATAGTACATCCTGCTTAAGCAGGTTGTACGCCATCCATACGACGTTTGGGCATCTGTTTGTAAAATATTGCTGCAAATCTTTTTGAGAGAGCCATTACTATGGAGAACCATCTAAACCATACAAGTGTGGAAATATGGATGTAAATCTTAAACACATTTGTGATATATAATTGTAGAATGTTATATGTTATAAGTTTGGAAATTATATTCTGCTAAAAAAACTTTTTAAATGTATTTTAGCAGAACATACCTGGCGCGCATTTGATCCTGAAAAATATTCTTTTCGGAACAAATGCTGGCTGGGTAATTTGGACTTGTAAATGAACTTATGTTCATAATTTTTAAACTGCTTATGATCTGATCTGATTTTATTTTTGTCATTTGTTTATTTAGATTAATGTGAAATAAACTGATGAGTTTATTTAACTTAGCTGGTAAAAAAAAAAAGTTTTTGTGAAACAAATTTAATGAAGACAATTATAGGTATACCTGTTAATGTAATATATTTTGTATTGTATTTTGTATGCTTAGTTTTGACGAATTTTTAAATACTGCAAACTCACACTCGCACAAAAATCAACTGTGAACTCTTATTTAATCAGTTTCAAAAGTTGACTTTGAAAATTTTGTATAAGATATTATAGCTTATTTATTAGACTGTGTTTTTAGAATGAAGTTCATTCATTTGCTGGCAACATTTTTAAACGTGGTCCAGATCGAAATAATTTGGTGCTAGAAATTGTCGATAGTGGAAGTGATAGATGCATCGAACCTAATTTGTAATTAATTTCAGTAAATAAATTTCACTTTACTAATTTTTGTGTTGAATTCTTGTTTTTCTAATGGTATTTGAAATTAATAAGTCTAAAAATTAACGTATAAAAAAATACGCACCTATTTATGGCATTCCATACCTAATGTCTTTCATTATTTTTAATCTGTAACTTAAGCTAAACTCAATTTCTTAGTCCTATCATGACGTCTTTTTTATGTTCCTCGTAAGGCGTCTTTTTTACGTTCCTTTCAGGACGTCTTTTTCACGTTCCTTCTGGGACGTCTTTAAAACGTTCCACGCAGGACGTCTTTCTGTATTTCCAAATCCAACCAATATAAGACGTCCGATCGGGACGTCTTAAAGACGTCTTAAAGCTGTCCGCGTGCCCACTGGGATGTTATTATAAAAATAAAAAAAATTTGATGTATGTGAATGGATGTATCTGCAAATATTGTATGTATAATACTTCTGGAAGTTAACCATCCTTTGACAGTGGTTTAGCACTTTTGTCGGTGAAAGCGTAAACGTAAACGCACCAACATTTAATAATTTTGGCTTCACACACAGAAACACCATCATTTGGCTTTCTAAATTCTTATACACAATCTTTTGGACAACCTTGAAGTGCATTTGGATGTACCTAGTGCAGTCATATTCTTATTATTTTCGCTTATTTATTAATTAATTAACAATTAAGATTAGTGCAATTGTAAGATACATTTGAGTAACAAGATTCAGTGATCGTATAGATACGAGTAAGATGCGAGACGTATTCGTTTATCAAGAATATGATGATATTATTGTTTTCGCTTGAGTCATGTGATTTAGAAGTACTGGTACTTTAATTCAAGCCATAAAGACTAAATAAAAGTTTAAAATTTGTATTTATTAATTTTTGTTTTTTCTAAAATCTAAATTAAGTTAAAAGTTCTTCAACAGCGGTTTTCGGTGACAAGACCTGTTTGGTCTTCTTTGAGTATCCGCGTTTGTTATCTTTTTTCTTTATTTTTTAACGGTTTCTTTGCATGTAATTTTTCTTATTGATATATTTGTAAATATTGTTTAAATATTGTAATAAAGAACAACAACAAAAGTTTGGAGTCGTCAGCAAATAACCTTTAAAATTTTCGAAGCCAAATATAAATCATTTATAATGAGTAAGAATAAGAATGGTCCTCAAATATATTTCTGAGGAACACTACAAGTTATAATATTTTTTTTCAGTTTTATTCCCATTATATACTATATACTGTTTTCTGTTTAATAGGTAACTTTCAAACCAGAGTAGAAGTTTTTTTTTAATAAGTACGTCATAATTAACATTGTCAAATGCTTATGACAGATCAATAAAAATCTCCAAATTTATGGCAAATATTGTTAAACCCGTCGGGTTTAACAATAAAATTAAAACGGATGTGTTTATTATAGTCAACGTGTCACTCATAGCAGATCAATTCATATTTGCGCTTGATTTTTTACATGCATTAAAAAGTCCGCAAATGTTTGAGTTGTGAAGTACTTTTTAATTAACTCAACCTGTTTGTCTGCAATGAGCTGTCTATTTTCGCTTAAAATTTTTTTAAAACTGTTACTTTCTTTTAGAGGGAGGATACCAATGAACCCAAGTAAATTCCTAACTATTCGTAACAACACAGGAATGTCCGCACCTCTGAGCGAAAAGCGAGAGAGAAGGCCTGGTTAGGTGGTACCGATTGTCGAGGAAAAAACACAAAACAAAATAAAAGCAAGAAAAATGGTCCATTTATCTTAGTTGCAATACTTTCTTTTTGTGCGTAAGTTGGGCTAGTGCTTCGATAGACAGCACTCTTCTTTATTTCCTGTGACTTGAGGGGTTCCTTAAGGTTCTCTTCTAAGTCCTATACTCTTCTTAATTTACATTAACAATCTTCCGGAAAATCTCATATGTAAGATGGCATTGTTCGCTGATGGTACTACCATTTATTCCTACCATTGATTTAATTATTCTTATCATTAATACCATTGATTTCTTGCAGCCATTTGAGCTTAAAAAAGATCACTCTTCTGCTACAGCACGGAACTTTCAGTGACTTGAGAGCTTTAACTCAAATTTTTAAGCTAATTGTTATTGCAATAATCTAGATTTTTCTATATTTATGAACGGATGCTGTATTTGGTGAGTCATCTACCCTTCTTCTTTTAGGATTAACTCTTTCTACGTCTCATAGGATTAACTCAATCTTTCTTGGTAACTATATATTAAATTAATTGGATAGTTTTAGCTTTTTTGAACGACGAATAGCTTTTATTTCTCTATCAATAGATCGCTTTAGAGTTTTCTTTTTATGATATGCTTTATATTCTTAAAATCTAAGTACTTTTCCTATCAAAGCTTTTGTTGCATTTAAATTTTCTTGCAAGATCTCTCTATGACTGACATAGACTTGCCGTTACAGATCAATTGATTTTGCTTTATATTAATCTTTAAATCCTTTCTTTTTTCTACCTCCAGCTTTTCTTTCAAAAGGTCTGTTTATATCGCCGCAAATTAAATCCCAATGATGATCGAGAAACACCGGTCAATTTTGAAATGTCAACTTGAGACTATAAAGGTTTTTGAAGAAAACTCATTTTCGATTTAATATTTGTTTACTCATTTTATTCCGATAGCAATGATAACCAATACTTATTACCATCGCAATCAAACAACAACACATTAGCTTCCCTGTGCAGTAAAATTAAAAAAATTTGTCAACTATTTTTTGAGTAATAACGATTGAAAGGAGCTGAATCTCATTGTGTTCAACCAATATCTAAATCTGTTGTTAGATTTAATTTTTGACATTATTTTTTATTTACTTTTTAAAAGGTTTCAGTGTATTATATACATATACGAAATGTCGCACCTTTTGGAGACACAATGTACCTTGAGTATTGAGGCTATCCATCACTTTGAAGAAAAAACAATCGAAGAGCTAAGCATGAAAAAGTATTAACTTTTGCCAAATGGAGGGCAGAGGTGAAGTTGTTAACAAATGAAACCAGTCCCGTCTAAACCATGAGCCGTAACCACACCACGCCTAGCCCAACGGTCTAAACCAATCTCAGCACTGAGACCTATGACCCAGCCCAAAGTGATGAAATTAATCTAATCCTAAATTATTCAAGGTCTTTATTCCACGATCCACAACATTTATTGCACTTGCTGTTAAAAATTTACTACATATAAAATATAGTTGTGATTTTATAAGAAAGTAATAAACAGTAATAATCGCAATAGGAAATCTTATTCAAAAACTACGTGTATTTACTGCAAAGAAAGTTTTAACACTCAAAGTATTTCATCACAGATAACTGTATAACGCCCTATAATTTTTATAATTAAAAATTATTTTACTAAATAATAAAATATAATTTTTTAATGAAAATATTCACGTTTATGTAATAAAGTTTTTACAGTTAGCCAGAAAAAAAAAAAAAAAACAATTTTTTTATTTTTGTTCTGTGGAATTATTCTTTTTTTTTTTAACTCATTTATTTAGCCGTACAAATATTTACAAGTTCTAGGTTTGTCTTATCGCCAAGTCCCTTGTTTTTTCTGGGCATTTATATAAATACGTTGTAACTAAAATTAAAAATGAGAGAAAAAAGGTTGTTTCAAAGAAGTAAACATAAAATGCAAAATAATTTTTAAATATCATTCAAAAAAAAAAACCTGAAAAAAGAAAACATAAAAGTTAATTTACAGTCATAAGACACTTTAAAATTATATCTTTATAATTACTTTTTTTAAATATTATTTACCACAATGCATATAATTAAAGACTTTAGACCTTTCAAGATAAATAAAGTATACATTAGCAAATAATTTTCAAATATAGTATTTTCGTAGGTAGTTTTAAAAATAACTCTCTGTTTGTTCATAATTTTAAAAGTAATAGTTTTAGTTTTTGTTTAAACTGTTCTAGATTTGTTTCAAGAAGTGTTTAAATATCATTACTAATTATCTTATTCCATACCTTAAGTCCTCTAATAGTTATTGAGAACATGGTGAACTCGTATATAGTTTTGGGTTGAACAAAGTTGTTACTTGAATACTTAGTCACATATTTGTGTTGAATTTTATTAAAAAATGGTCTGAAGATGTTTGGTATTGTATTATTATTATTTTTATACATAAAAATTAAAAGATTATATATATTTATTTGGTACAATTTTAATATTTCTAGATTGTTAAACGATGGTCTAAAATGTGAGAATCGGTGTGCATTTGATAATATTCTAACTGTATGTTTTTGTTTGCTAAATGGCTTTTTTTTCTTTGTTTTATTGGTGATGCACCAAAAAATGTTTGCAATAATAACATAGAAATGAATAAATTAGTAATATATGTATTTCAAACATGACTGTTCTAAGTATAGTTTTGCTTTATAGAATAATCCGATATTTTTAGAAATTTTATCTTCAATCGTGTTTATGTGGTCTTTCCAATTAGTTTTCATCTTGAATTTTATTTAGAATCTTACTTTCATAAAGAAAATTTAGGCTTGTACGTTCGAACTTTGGATGTTTTACCCATAAACCCAATATTGTGGCTTTCTTTTCCATGCTATTTTCTTTTTATGTTGGTTTTGTTATGGAAAGTAATGATGTTCTGAATGTTAGGAAGACAGTCATAGCTAACTTTTACATTATTTCTGTAAAAATGTTTATGAAATTTATGTACTGTTGGAAAGCTTTTATTTATCAAATTTAAGAAAGTTATGGCTAAAAGTGCATCAAAAACAATTTTTCTTAATATCTAATCAAGTTTAATTTTAAGAACTTTTTAAGAACCAATAAATATTTTATAAATCTCTTAGTGTGTTAGGGAATAAAATGTGTACATGATTGTACTAATATGGGTGTGTGGACACCCCAATATAGGTTTGTTGTTTTAAACATGCCGTTTTTATGTCAGTTTTAGCTTATCGTCGGCATTTTCCTTGGATTCCTCGATAGATCTAGGAATTTGAGGTTCTTTTATTTTAGTAGTCGCATTTATTATTTTCTATGAGATTAACAAACTTTTTATAGGTGCAACCCTGATTGTTTATTAAACTTTTTGATATATGAAGAAGTAATAAATTATTTAAAGAAACTTAAACGTTGCAGATATACGGTTACGAGTTGGGTTAAATTAGTCAATTTGACAGGGTAGGTCACAAAATAACTACTATATAACTAAGATTAACCAATAAACTAAAATAAACTTTTTTTACTTTGCATTAACAGCAACAAAACAACTATCTTAAAAAACATTTTGCTAACAATATTTGTTTAACTAAAAAATCTAAATTCAGAGCTTAGATTTCTGTATGCCTTTAGCTTATATAGCAAGTGATTTCACAAACAGAAGTTTAACAATTTAGGGATCGACCATAAATTACGCAACCCAAAATACATTTAAAAAACAGATGTAGGAGATCTTAAGCTCTTTCACGCGGCGATTTTCATTAGGCTTAATCGACTTTTTTTTTTTTTAAATATATATATCTTAAGGCAAAGGAAAACTTTTGATCTTATTTGTTTTGTTTACTTGTGAAATTTTGCGTTGCGTAATTAATGGACATGCCCTTATGAATATAGCAAAAACATTTTTCAATCAATTGAATAAAGTTTGTATAAGGGGTCTTCCATAAATTTCATCACGCTTCAAGGGGGAGGGGGTTGGTAGTTTTGTGACGACTCATACAAAACTTGCTTCTTAAGTGTTACGATTTTGTGACGACGGGAAGGGAGGGAGGTCAAAGTCTGTGACGTAATTTATGGACGATCTCTAATTATGCGTGTAAGCCTGTATAACAATTCTCATAGTAGAATGATGCATTATTTTTTTCGTATCAAATCAATATAGTTTTTTTTATCATGCTGATCATAAAACTATGGTTTCATAAATAGTATTATATTATTAGAATAGTTTACATTTTAAAATTAAAATTTTTTTTCAATAAATGGTTTTAAATTCTTTGAAAGATTTAAAAAAACTCGCCTTAGGTGGTGCATCATGAAAATAACATTTTTTAAAAACAATTCCCCGGATGTTTTTTATTAAGTCTTTAAATGTGTTGTCAACAGCAATGCCCTTAAAATAAATATTTTTTAGATCAAAATCTATGTAACTTATCATACATTATCATAGCAAGGTTTTTTTTGATAATGCAAACTCAAACTTCAGGTGACTGAAATTATTATTGTGTTCTCATACACTTATTGTGAGAATGACATAATTTTATATAAAATAAATAAATAAAAGTAAATTAAAAGAATATCAATTTGTGTAATAAAAAAACAATAAGTTCAGTAGATCTTTTGATGTTAAATAAAAATTTACTTTACGTTTTTATGAAATATTACTTATTTTGCAAATAATAACAATGATCAAATTAATAAAAAATTTAAAACTTTTTTTTTGTTTGATCAAGGGTTAAAAAATATGTAAAAAACAAAAAACATACATTAAATGGGTAAAAAAATGTTATTTTACTGGTGTTCAAAAAGGACAGGTTAACACATTAATTGGTGAAGGATATTTACAGCGTCAAGTATCATCATGGCTAAGCATATAAGAGGTGCGGTACAAAATGTCATCAGACTAGCAACATCCTCTAGTCGTTAAATTTGCGGTCATCAATAAAAAGCAAGTTATCGCGAAAATCGTATGCTAAAAGCTACCGTTATTTGCTTATTAGTTCAGGTGCTTCATTTGTTTAAATAACACGTAAAGCCAGACAACATGGGGCAAAACAAAAAATGAAAATTCATAAAGAATAAAAAAAAATAACAGCTAAAAAGCTGGATAATCTATTTGCAAGCGTAATAAGAGTTTTAAACAGGTCTCGGTAACTTTTTATAAAATAATCAAGTTTTTTTTCTGTAGACAAAGAAAACAGTTTTTAGTGACGTTACTGTAGGAGGAGACACTTTAAACCATCAATCAGTTGAAAACTTAAAGTTTTTTGATGTTTTCTTCAATTTCAAAAATGTATTTACAAAAAATATAGGCATACGGTCATTATAAAGTCAATTATTACGTAGGGCGGACAGGCACCGAGCGCTCCCCAGTAAGCACAGGTCGTTTTTAAAACGTTTAAAAAACGTTAATATTCGTTTTTATAAGTTTTTTAAACGTTTTAAAAACGTGCTGTGCTTACTGGGTCACATCTCCAGTAACCATCTAGAGCGTGTACGCAGCAAATAAAACTCATGCTTTTACTTTTATTATGCATAAATTATTAAATTATCTGTCATAATAACTTAAGTTTTTAAAAATTAAATCTAAAGTTCATGTTTTTACTACACATAAAAAAAAAAAAAAAAAACTGTTTAAATCAACGGAATATGTAACGGACTACTCCCTCAGATTTGTACCGCAGCAGCTTGTATCGCAAATGATTTCGCAAACTGAAGTTCAACAAAATATGGGTGTAGGAAAAAATATCTTTTAATCAATTGAATGAATAATTTTTAATTGTGCAAATAAGCCTGTATAACAATTTTCATAATAAAAAAATGCATTATTTTTCACGTATTAAATCAATGTGTTGTTTCTTACCATACTGATCATACAACTGTAATTGTATAAATAATAATAAATTATTAGAATAATGCACTATAAAGCTTAAAACTCAAAAAGTATTTGAATAATTTGAAATAAATTCTTTGAATTAATAAATAATAAATTCGACACTATTCGCCTTTGGTAGTGCATCATAAAGAACATTTATTGACAACCAATCCCCGGATGTTTTTTATCGATTCTTCGATGTGATTAACAACAATGCCCCTAAAATAAATGTTTTTCAAAGAAGAAAATGTACACCATACATTTTCATTGCTATTTAAGTTTTTATGATAATACAACATTCCGATATGATAATATGGTATTGTGATAATACAATATTTCGATGTTTTAGTCGTTTTTTTTAAGTTTTAATTCAGTGGACAAGTTTTTATATTCCTTAATAATAAAACAATATTTAGAACAACTGCTTATTTCAAAATGACCTATTAACCAAACGCCCACAAAAAACAGTATCTAGTATATTATTCGATTAATAATAGAAAAACTTTTTTACTTAAGAATAAAGCACAACAGATTCGCCAGACATTAATGATGACTAATCTGATACAAAATCTTTAAATATTTAGGGAAAAAGTTACCTAAGTTATATATAATTGCGTTAAATAAAATTAAACGTTAAATAAATTGTTTTTTTTTTTGTATTTTTTTAAATCGACTTAGGAAAAAAAAAATCCTAAATCAGCTCTAAGGTCACAGGTTTTTTGAAAGTATGTAAGCATTCAATTTATAGAGATCAAACAACCTAATTTTTTTTTTCTTTGTTTATCGCTTATATTTTGGGCATAATGCTAAATTATAACAATTTTATTTTATTATTTTATTAAATTTTAACACTTTATTATAGAAAAAATTGAACAACAACAAAAAAGCCTAAAATCAATAAAACGCAAGTAGAAACAATGACACAGTTTTACCACAAATATAATTAGAAGCCAGCTAGAAAATGTTTACTCTACACTTAGAAAGCAAAAAAAAAAAACGCGTATTAAACAAGCGACAGATTTACTAATATTATATACTGACATTTAATTATTTGGTAGCAGGCCTCCTTCTGCCAAATCAACCAGCAAAACGCATAAAAGCAACCTAGTACTCTTGATTGTAATTTATTTTTATTTAAATACCGCTGAGATTTTTAGCGACAAACTTTAAACATTAATACAAAGCCTTTTTCCAAAATTTTTGTTTTACTAGTCGAGTGTTAACAGTTCTAATTCTAATTTGCTTGAGATCTAATCTAAATTTGTCTGGAAAAACATCAACTTCTTACAGTTAAAATAAAAAAAAAAATTAAATTATTAATTTTTACAAGAAATAGCGAATATGAAAAAATCTCTAAAAGTAAATCTAATTTTTTTCATGAACAAAGTACAAAAATTGTTAAATTGTGAACAGTTGAAACTTTAAGATTTTAATGTGTATGCATTAATTTTTCCATAGATATGTTTTTGTAAGTGACGCTAGGACGTCAAGAGCAGCGTACTTTTTTTACTGTTTTAATGTGTATTGGACATGAACTGAAAAACGCATTAAATGCAAATGAAAAAAGACTTCATTAAAGTAAAACTGATAAATTACCTGGGTATTCACAATGAAATTTCAAAGCGAACAGCAAATTCTTTATAAAACTCAACATTATTAGACTTATTCTATATTTAACTAATTCAACTGTGAAAATTATTTTTTTATTGATCGCTTTTTAGGTCAATAATAAATTTTGGAAGGACAATTTGAACACTGCATTTTTTTTTTTTTTTTTTTTGCATAATTTATTTCTCCGATAAAGAATATTTACATTGCATATATAAATAGGGGAAAGCGGGGCAACATGGCGAACGTTTTGAAAGCCCTGATTTGTTGCAAAACTATCAGTCATGAAACAATAATACTTTTTCAGTATGCTTATGTTATTTCAATGATTAATTGCTTGCATAAAATTTTAGTTTGTTTATTTATATACTTGTGTATATATATATATATATATATATATATATATATATATATATATATATATATATATATATATATATATATATATATATATATATATTTGTTTATATATGTATCAGTTTATATATACATCAGTTTATATATATATATATATATATATATATATATATATATATATATATATATATATATATATATATATATATATATATATATATATATATATATGTATATATATATATATATATATATATATATATATATATATATATATATATATATATATATATATATATATATATATATATATAAACATATATCAGAATTAAATTAATTAAGAAAATAAAGATTATCAAAATATAAAATAACTAAGAAGTGTAAGAATCACTTAAACAAAAATTTTTGAAATAAAATTTCATAATATAAAATTTCATAATTAACAATATCTCAAGATAATTTTTTTTTTTTTTTTGTTTATATCGTGTTACAGTTTACAATTATATAAATTGTAATACAATTACATAAATAACTTGATAAATAAAAGCTTTACAAATATAAACAAGGTAGATAGAAGATTTCCGTAGATAGAAGGTTTCCGTTGATCTTGCCGTCAGAACCTTTTAAAAGCGTATAAGCAACAACAACAGCAAAAATAAATAAAAAACTAATTACATTTTTTACAGTGCGTTATTGCAAATTAGATGTAATTCATTATATTGTTTATATTGTAATTCATTATATTGTAAGCTTATGCGTATAAAATTGCGTTAATAATATTAAAAAAAACCAATTGGTGTTTTAAATACAAGATGCAAATACAGTTTTGTTTTCACCCAACTTTAAGATTTTTTGTTGACTTGTTATATGAAAACCCATCTTGCCCCATTCGCCATGTTGCCCCGCTTTCCCCTATATCAAATTTAATGACTGGAGCAAAAAAATGGCACTGTTTGCCTTATCGCCGAGCCCCATATATATAAAAACTTTACATAACCATAACATACAAATATATATATATATATATATATATATATATATATATATATATATATATATATATATATATATATATATATATATATATATATATATATATATATATATATATATATATATATATATATATATATATATATATATATATATATATAGATGTATAGATATATATAGTAAAAATTTAGAAGATATTTACTAGATGAAAAAATAAGTAACAAACTAAGAAACTTAAAATGTTCCCTTACAAATACAAGATACATTATTACATATATAATTTTTATTAATTCATGTTTAAATAGAGGGTAAAAAGGAAGATCACTAAAAAAGTATCAAAAGTATATTGTTAAATCTTCGATTACTAAAAATGAGTTCCTAAAGCTTTCGTTTAAAATAGAAATAGTTACTTTGATGAAGAAAATCCTTAGTAAATTTTTCTAAACTATTTTAGTTTTGGCGTAAGGTTTATCAAAAATCGTTTTTTCGATAATAGGTGAATCAGAATATACTTTGTTTTGTCTATGGTTAAAGTTATTTTATTAAATTTCAACCAGTTAGAGATAAACTTAAGTTCTTTATTCATTTTGTAGAACAGTTTCGTAATGCTACGGTTTGATACAAATAAATTTGTATCATCAGCAAACATGATGTTTTTTAAGTTTGATACTTTATTTATATCATTTACATAAATTAAAAGAAGAGGCCCAAGAATCGAGCCTTGAGGAACACCGCAAGTTATTTGAGTCATTTCCTTTTGGCGTCTGTTATTGACGAGGACAAATAGTTTTCTATTTGTTAAATAACTTTTATACCAATTTAAAAGATTGTTATTTATACCATAAAATTTGACTTTTTGCAGTAAAATTTCATGATCTACTGTATCAAATGCATTTGATAGAAAAAATAAATATTTTATTGATCTATCAAAAAAATTTTAACATCATCACTTAAATTTCATTGATATGAATAAATATGTTTTTATTTGATTAAGCTTACTTTTATAGGAAACATTTGAAGTTGGAGAAATTAAAATCCCTGAACAGTATTAATCGTTTTCATTCATTTTTAAATTACTCTTAAGTAGTCTTGTTTACGTTGACAATCTCCGGGAATTTTTTCCACAATCAAAGTCCGCGGTATTTAATTGAGTAATAGGTTAATTTTAAATTATATTTGAGAAGAACAATGTTGTTATCCGAAAAAATTTGTTCAATATTTATAATTAATTTTACTAAAACATCGCCCACCATCTAGTGAAATAAATAGTTTCAAGTCCTTTTTAACAACTCATATTATAAAAAAATGTATAATAGAAAAGAAACTAAATTACATAATTGGTGATTTAAATTTAGACGCATTAAAATATCACGTAAATTCCAAAATTAATAGTTTTTTAAAGAATTTTATTCAAAAACGGAGCAAGTCTGCTATTCAATAAACCAACAAAACTAAGTTTAAAGTCAGTATCCTTAATAGATAATATTATGTCAACAGACACTTTTAATGAATCTCCTAAAAATCTCTTAAAATTTAAAAATGATGTCTCAGATCTTTTCTTATTTTCTTTTCAATAAATACTAATATTGAACAACTACCAATAAAAAACAGGTTATCGAAAAACGCTGTCTCAGTAAAGTAAATATGGCATCATTTAAAGAACAACTATTAATACTAATTTGGAAACATATAACTCTTTTGTCGGAAGGAAATGTGGTTTATAACTCATTCTTTAAAACATTCTATGAAGTTTATGACGCAACTTTTTCACTATACAAAGTTAACTTGAATAAAAAAAGCTTAAAGTCACCATGGATTAACAAAAACCTCAGGAAGTCTTCAAAGTTAAACAAAAACTGTATATCAAGTATTTAAAGTCAAAAACAGATAAAAATAAGTAAATTTATAAAATTCATGTAAAGACTTTTCAGTTTCAATAAAATATTTAAAAAAACACACTACTTGTTAGAGAAGTTTAAGAATAATGCTAAAACCACATTGCAAATTTTACTGGCAATGTGGTTTTTGTTAATCCATGGTGACTTTAAGGCAATGTGGTTTTTGTTAATCCATGGTGACTTTAAGCTTTTTTTATTTAAGTTAACTTTGTATAGTGAAAAAGTTGCGTCATAAACTTCATAGAATGTTTTAAAGAATGAGTTATAAATCAAAACATGCCATGTTTTAATTTATTAAAAACAATGATGATTTTTTTTTATAATCTTAAAGATATAGCAAATCAAATAAATAATTTTTTTGTTACTATTGGTCCAAGTTCAACAAAAAATATTCTAATTATAACTAACACAATAAATGATTTTTATCTTCCGATAAATTCTTTACGTAATAACTTTGAACTTTCCATTAAAGAGTATGGATGTGCTTACAAAATGCTAAAAATCAATAAAGCGATAGGCCCAAATCAAATAAATGGTAACATTATAAACGGTTCTTACGAGATCTTTTTTTTTTTAAGTTAAATAAGGTGCCCCAAGAAGTCCTTACGGTCTTATCACAGAGCACCGCGGGAGAGCATTTAATAGAAAGTTTTTGCCTCCTTCCCAACCGATGTCGCAAAACATGCCCAGAGGTGGGGTTAGAACCACGGATCTTACGCTTCTAAGGCATGTGCTACCACTGCGCCACGGCTCATAAAAACTATACTCCTTCAGGTCTTTAGTTGTTCAATAAAACAAGGTATATTTACTGATCAACTAAAGATACCCAAAGTTACACCAATATTTAAAAGAGGGAATTATCAAATATAACTAATTATCGTCCAACTTCTGTACTTTCTGGCATTTCAAAGTTTTTTGAAAGGATCCTATACAATAAAATTTGTGATCATCTTTCTAAAAATAAAATACTAACTAGCTAACTAAAATTTCAAAATGGTTTAAGTCTATAAGTTCACAATTAACATAGAAAAAACTAAATGGACTCTATTTCAATCAAAATACAAAAAAATATCTTTTGCCAAATGCTATGCCTCAATTATATATAATATTCAAATAAAACAATAAAAAGTTATACTTTTTTTGGTGTTCTAATTAATGAATATCTTAGGTTGAAAAATCATATTAAAACCTTGCGCAACAAAGTTTTATAAAACATTGAAGTATTATAGAAAGCGAGAAGTTTTGTAAATAGACACGCGTTGATTCAACTTAGTTACTCACTTATTCAATGTCATCTAAATTATTCAAATATTGCATGGGGTAGTGCTAAAAAAAGTCAATTAGATCCTCTTTATCGGCAACAGAAGCATCTAGCACGACTAATAAACTTTAAAGATCGTTTTACTCATGCAAAACCACTTTTATTCAAAACGACAATTTTTAACATATACCAACTAAACGTTTTTAACGTTCTTTGCTTTATATATAAATGTAAGATAAGTTTAACTCCTATATCTTTTCTAACTTCATGTACAATAAAGCCCAAAAACAAATATGATCTAAGAAATGAAAATTTTATTTATCAACATTTTTCGCATACAAGTTTTGAAAAATCTCTTAAATCTTATCGCGGAGCATTTTTTTGGTACCAATTAGTTCAATAAAATTTTGATTTTTCCCAAAGTTGGAATTTTTCTACTCTCAAAAACAAACTGAAAAATTTTTTTTCTCAATAGATAATATTTTTGAGTTCTTCTGATCTCGTTTCTCTTTTATAAGTCTTATCTAAATGTAATTTAAAATGTTTTA